TGTGCTAGCACAGCTGAAGGGACTGTCCCCAGAATCATCACCAGCGCCCCCTACAGGCTCTCCTTCTCTCACCCGTGTGAGCTTGCCTTTGCCTTTTGCCCCTTCCTGAGGTGACCGCCCCCAAATCCAGCTTCTCCCTGTTCCTTCACTATCAGCCTTGACTTTGTTGGGAGTTCCACTGGGCTCCGTCAAAAATATCAAAAACCATAACAGTTTTTATCGTCTTAGTAAGTAGGGGTGGGCCGGGAGCTTTGTAAAGTTGGAGGGTGGAGCTTTCTAGAAAGCCTCTTCCAAGGTCTGTCGCCCAGGCAACACTACCAGTCTTCAGTCCTTACCATCCTTTCCTTCTCTCTGGAATATGAACACTCAGGATAGTGTTCCGGCAGCTACATTGAGACGAAGAGGTCTTAACCTCAGGGCTAGAAAGCACAGGCTTAGGTTGGCAGTGTAGGAATCTAGATGAGCCTTGGGATTCGGATGACAGACAGCTACCAGCGTGGCCTGTCTCGGAAATTCATGATGCGTAAAGGAAAACTCACCCACTCCCTGGTTGAAGCCATGGCTGTGTCTGGCCTTCTAGTCACCAGATTCAGTTCATAACGGATACTTTCATAAAGCAATCAAATATCAGAAGCTGTGTCAGCATCTTCTGCCGCCACCTCCCTTGCTCTCGTGGCCTTGTGCCGCGTGCATGCGTGTGGAGGTCAGAGGGCAACCTGACAGAGCTGGTTCTCTTCTTCCACCTTTAGGTGGGTTCCAGGAATGCTCCATCTCATCCTTTTCCTGGTGGGCAATCTCACCAACCCCACACTTAACTTTTAGACAGTGGGTTAGTTGGGCAACGTTTCAAAAGGTCTTCCTTTCCCGTAAGAACCCAGTTTTCTTAGAAAGCCTGCAGCGGCAGGGTCTTCCTTTCTACTCTTGACCATGAGTTGGAGCTGAGGCATTGTTTCCTCTCAAAGGACACCCGACTCACCTCCCGGGGTTTCTGAAGATAGCACACCCAGGAAATGCTGATGAAACATGCCGGAAGTGCCTTTCTTCTCGGTCTCCCAACTCAACATTCAACACATTGGAATCTCTCTCTGTCTCTCTCTCTGTCTCTGTCTCTCTCTCTCTGTCTCTGTCTCTGTCTCTCTCTCTCTCTCTCTCTCTCTCTCTCTCTCTCTCTCTCTCTCTCTCACACACACACACNCTCTCTCTCTCTCTCTCTCTCTCTCTCTCTCTCTCTCTCTCTCTCTCTCTCACACACACACACGCATGCACCTTTGAGAAATGTGCAGAAATCAGTCTCTCAAATGTCAGGAAATAGTTGATGTAGCTCCTTCCTGGGGCTGTCTCAGCTTTTCCTCAGGGCTGCCTTGTGGCTCTCGGGATGGAGAGTAGCACGCACTGTCCCTGTGGGGACAGCCTGATTGAGTCATGGAGACTTCAGAGGACAGCTGTATTGGGTACTGGATGTGGATCGCTTTGATAGCATTGATTACCTCATTGTGAGCTGACTTTGAGCCTGACTTGTCGCAGCCCCTCCACCAGGTCAGAAGTAAGACCATGTAGAGGATCTCTCTGGGGGTACAGAGAGGTGTTGGGTGGGGGACTGGGTCACAGGTCCTGCTCTGCTTGGGGGCTGGTTTTTCTGGGAAGCAGGGCTCTGTTCCTGGGACCAACCATACTAAATGTTTGTGGGGCCAAACGGGACTTGGGACCAGGGCTGTAGGAGGGCTGGCTGAGGAGAGAGGCTGCTGGTCTAGGCTGGTTGGTCATGGTTTCTATTAAGACAGAGTTTATCGCCATCTAATTGCTCCTCATAGGAAATGAACGGCCAGCCGACAAGCAGGACTTAGATGTAATGTCAGTAAGAGGCTTTATTCATACATAGTTCTGAACACAGACATTACATCCCAGTTCACTGGAAGCCAGACGACTCCGCAGATTCTCAATTCTTTTTAGGAACAGGAGTAACATTACTTGGGGTCCAAGTGCAAATTTTCACTGATTTTTCAAGTGTAGCCACACACCCTTTCAGCTTGAACTTTTATTCCACCTTATCCAAATATCAGAGAGGCTGGCGACATTCCCAAGCAGGCCAGCTTGAGGAAAACCACTTCCATCATTTATTAACAGGCCGAGCATAATTTTCATATGGTTCAGTCATTCAGATTTATTACAGAACACCATTTAATAAGAAAAACATTAAATGGATCAATTGAATTTAAGTCTTTCTGTAAAGGGAGCGTTTAAGTTCTCTTTTGATTAATGTTAGCATTTAAGGGCTGTCACTTTCACCTTCTGGTTACTGAATTTATCAAATATCAGGTTTTCCTTAAATGAAAAGAAAATCAGCTACACATCCTATATCCCATGCCTGAGCTGGCTTTTCTGCCCCCAGGCAATGCCCCTTTCATTCCCTGCCCCCTGCTCTGGTCACGGGCTGCTCTTGGGCCCCGACCTTCAGTGGGTTTGTGTCATGCAGGTGGAGGGGTGAAGAATGGACAGGGGGATCAGGGTCACCCCTGCCTTCCTTCCTGGGGGTCACCACAACTGTGTGTCCCCCCGGTCTGGAGGTGCTAAACCCTGCCACGAAGCTTTCTCTGTCCTTATTGCCCCTTCAAGTGGCACCAGCACAAGATTACCCTATCACACCGCTATGCAAGCCATAGTTTTGAATTCCTCCCGACGGGAGCGTGCCATGAACTTCATGCGGGACCCACCATGGTCACAAAGACACGTGTGATGAACAGAGATGGTCTGTAAGAGGACTGGAGAAAAGACAAGGTCATAAAAGAGCAAACTAGCCCAGTGGAAGCCTCCTTCAGGAGAGACGTGTCCCAGGGTCCCTTTCAGCCCGGCTTTCCCTAGTTTAGCTCTCTTGGGTTCAAAGCTCCAGGCCTCTGCATGACAGGCAGAGAACACCCTAAGACTGCTTTGGGTTTCCAAGGGTTAGCAGTCATGGGCTGGGCGGTGGGTGACCTGAAGGTCAGAGGACACGCAGTGTGGTGATTACTGACCTTAGGATCAGCGTGACTCTGATTGGCTCCTCACCCACTTTATAGCAGGGGCAAAGGTGTCTAGAGGATGTTCAGGATGTATAGAATGTATACATGTATAAGTGGATACTTTCCCAGGCAAGCCACCTATGTTGTGCTATATAAGCAGTCCATACTCGGGGCGGGGGAGTCCCCTCTGTCTTAGAAATGTCTGTCTTAACCAATCCCCCTTATCTGCCACTTTGAAGTGTTGGCTTACTACTGAAATTCAAGTTCCAGAAGATAATGTTTCTTTTTCAGACTGTGTGAACTTGGAAATGAGCAAGTTTTTCTCAGTGATGTTGCCAATTGTTAAAAAAAAAAAAAAAAGAAAGAAAAGAAAAATCTTTATCTGTGGCTGCTCAGAGGGCGGGGCCTTTGGCCCCCCTCCTCAGTGGGGGTGCTCACGGAATGATGCCAAGCACCAGTCGCTGTACTTCTGTTTTATTTTGTGTGCTTTTTTTTAAAATAGGATATAAATAATGACAAAAATTACAAAATTTATAACTGGAAGCCCAAGCTTATTTACACACACGCATGTGTTTCGGCAAAGCCACAGGCTGCTTTGCTCCTATACAAGTTCCTTTTGGTACCATATTTTAGTGTTCTTTTCCTCGAGGTTTACTACATACATATCAACAGTGAATAGGCAAAATATATACAAGGAACTCTTCAGTTCAAGTAATTTAATATTGTATTAAAATTCTCCGACACTGAACTAAAACCATATACATTTGTCAGTGGAAATGAAATTTAGTTTTTTTTTTTTTCAAAACTCACCAACTGATGAATGTGATAATCTCAGGTTTAAAATAATATTGGTTAATAAAAAAACATTAAGACAAGTTCACAATTTATCAATATCGCTATAATGAACTTCAAAATGAGTCACAATATGATCAGTTAGAACAATATACATTAAAATGTTATTTTTCTATAATGATATTGGTACTGTTTATATAATTTGATTCTACAGAAATATACATTATGATATCATACAAATACTCCACAGAGACATTAAAAAATTAAAATGCCTTAAAGAAACGTAAGTAAATTTATTTAATCAAATAGTAAGCAAACAGTTTTTAATCTTTTTCAAGAAAAGTCTTTATTACTTTGGAATTTCTTCTTTTTTTGTGTTATTTATTTTTTTTCTAGAAAAAAATTTGCAATAGAATTTTATTAACACCATTCTCAAACAAGGTTTCCATGACAGAAATCTTGACAGCAGGAGCCCTAGATTATAGATTTATTTTTGTTAAACATGTTCTTTAAAACACTTCGAAGGTTAAAAAAAAAAATCCCTAAAAACCACTCGTGCGGGCTATGGCTGCGTCAGCACTTCGGGTCACCCCGAGTGGGCGCGAGCCCGATCTCCTGCCTTTGGGACGGTGTCAGAGGTTGTCACAACTGAGCCGATCCTCGTGCAGTAGAGATGGAGTCACTTGAAACCAGAAACATCCCGCACAGCAAGCGCAGTGTTCTTATGAATGCATTAATGAAACATTCTTTTAATAAAAATATTTAATACAAGACACATTTTTTCTGTGCATAATAAATTCCTCTGTTTTAAATCACTTTTAAATTTTTGAATCATTCAATAAATGTTTCCTTTATCTGACATAGTCGATTACATATAAAATCCACAAATATAGAAATCGGGAGACGGAATTTCCTGGCAATCGTGAGGGTTGCTTTGTCTTTTTGCATGAGACTGCACTCGGTGATAACAATGATTTTACAGATGCTTTTGGGGGGGCGCTAGTACTGTCCTGACTTTCCCTTCAAAACGGCTGACGGTGAAAACTTAAACCCCAAGATGTCTGTAGACTTTTAGGTAGTACTGGAGACCCCCTCCATCACTTTTAAAAAGATTTTCTCCCCAACTAAAGCAAAGCAAGTACGGGGCAGTCTAACAGTACCTCGGAGGCGGTGGTAGCGGAGGTGGGGCGCCCCGCGCAGCCCCCCCCCCCCCAAGCCCCGCGCCTCTAGGGGCGACAAAGTCTCGCTGGCAGAAAGCTCCCTAGGGATGGCCGGCGGCCTTTCCGCCCGTGACGAGGCCACGCGAGCTGAGCAGTCTTCCTCCCGGGCGGGTGGACACGGAGGCGCGAAGGAAAGCCTGCTGCGGGGACTGCTTGGCGAGCAAGGCACCGCGAGGACGGGGCGGCGAGTATCAGAAAATCGTGGTTTCATACTTGGTATTAATGGCCCTCTTGGCTTCTTGCCCCGGCTCCACAATCCACGGCAGATTGGCCAGAGTCTTTTGCTCAGAAGGGTCCATCTGCTTTAAAACAGAAAGGCTGATGCCCGTTATCCGGCAGCTGGGCGGCGGCGCGGCCGCGGGGGCGCCGCTGGAACCCCACCTCGGGCCCCGCGCGCCCAGCCGCGCTGCGGGGCGGACCTGGCGTTCGCGCTTTCGCACCTGCACTGCACAGCGACTCTGCAGGAGCCTGCAAGGGTGAGGCGAGTGAGACCTGGCCCCGCCCCCCAGGACTCAGGCAGCGGGGTGAGCAGTGGCGGTTCCCACCCTCCAGCGGGGTCCCTAAAGAACCCTAAACCCTCAGGAGGACCCTGCGGGTGCCCACCCACTTGCCTGCTGAACTTTCTGCCATGCTAACCTGAAGCTGGACCTTGGCCACCCATCATCGCACAAGGCCTTTCCTCTCCCCTCTGCTGGACCTGGGCACCCATCATTGCACAAGCCCTGTCCTCTGTCCGCTGCCAGACCTCAGGCACCCATCCTCGCGCAAGGCGTTGGCTCTTAGCCAGGATGGTCCAGGTTTTGACTCGGACATCTCCTAGAAGCCGTACCTGCCACACCCTTTACAAAATGGCACCTCGACTTTTCTGCTTCCCCCTTCTGCTCTCTTACACATATGCCAGCCGGCTTCCTGTCCTACTCCCTGTCTACAGTGGCTGCCCACCAAGGTGGGGTTTCATGTTCCCTTGATTGCTGTGTTCTCCAAACCTGGCAAAGCTCCTGGCAGCCCAGTGCGAAGCAGGCATAGAGTAAATATTTGTACGGTCAATAAATAGTGTTAAGACAATGAGTGGGCTGCCAGGATAGGAGGAGGTACTGGGGTGGACAGAAGGCAGGCACAGATCCCTGGGGGAGATGGATCGAGAGGCTGGGCCTTGACCTCAACTGTCCTTGTCTTTTACAATGGCCAAGCAGGCCATTCCCAGGGCAGTAGCTAAGGTCTGAGCTCTGACAGGCCGCAGTTAAGCTGGTTCCCTAACGTCCCTCATCCTCTGGGCATCAACTTTGCTCTGTAAATTGGGCCAAGGGATTTCTGGAAGGCATGCTCAGCTTTCCTCTACCAGCTCTTCAGCCTGCTGGAGGCTGCAGGGTTTGTCTGTGCCTATGCGCCTATCAGGCTGCCTTCTGCTGCGTTTCTGCTGTGTCTCCTTAGCCGCAGGGAAGGACTTCCCAGTCTTGGGAGCACTATCTCCTAACAGTAAAAAGCCAGAGCTGAGGAAGTGGGAATACTGAAGCCTGGTGAGGGACTGGAACCAGAGCTAGGTAAAGCCTTTAGCCGTATTCACTGTGTATTTTCCCGGTTCCCAGAGAGGGCAGCTAGATGAATATTCTATGAGCCCTTACGGAGAGAAGCTCTGCGCATCTGGAAGAAGTCTACGCGGACCACGGTGAACAGACTTACCCAGCCCACACGAGAAGGAATATAGTAGCCTAAGTGACAATCCCCCAAGCATGCTGTGCGTTCCTGGACACCCAGAAGCCTAGTCAGACTCAGAGACACATTTGTTAAATCCACCCGCAGGATCTCACTTCTTTAAGAACAGATGTGTGTTAAGTGGATGCTAAGGCCCTGGCCCCTGGGGTCACAGCATGCCAGTGTATGTCATGAAGTAGAGAGGCAGAGATAAGTGGTAAGAAAACAAACTCAGTAAATACTACAGAGAATGAAAGGGGGCTAGAGTGTGACCAGGCATCTATTTCAGTCAGGAAAAGCGTCTTCATGCAACTGTGACTCATATGATCCCGTGGAGAGGGCCATGCAGGGCAGGGATAGGGGCGGGGGCTAGGGGAGGTGGAAGGCTCTCTTCCTGCTGTAGGGAGAGAGTGGTACCGAGACTTAAGCGGCACTGAGAAGTGGATAGTCAAGGAACGGGGCGGAGTGTGGTATTTCCTGGGTGCCATGGTCTCTGCTGTGTGGAGAAAGGGAGAAACCAGGAAGGGCTTGGATTGGAGGGGTGGGGTTGATGGAGGAAATGAAGAGGAGTGGGCAGGCTGAAGGTGCACTCCAGGGGAGCAGAGAATGGCCCCTGCTCACGGGCTGGGAGAGGTGTGGATGCCACAGCAGTCAAGGGGACTTGTGGGTTTGGATGCGAGCAGCGTGACGGAGGGTTGTGCCGTTTACGGGGCCCAGAAGAGGGAGGAGAGAAGCAAGGATTTATGTTGACTTCGGTGGAGATGCTTAAAAATGGACTGATCAGGTGCATCCCAGTTTGGGGTTTGGCGGGACTGGAGAGAGAGAGCTGGGAGCATGGGCTGGGGTGGTGCTGAGGCAGGAAGGTCAGGGGTGCAGTGTGGGATCTGAGAGGGACAGCCCTTGGTGATGACCAGTCAGCTGAGGGGTCATCCCTGCGGGTGCAGAAGTTACCCAAGACAGGAGAGGGGCCCCAGAACCAGTAGCCACATTGTCACCAAAGGAAGGAACCTCTCTTGGGAGGTTAAAAATGTCTATTTCCGCATGACACGGAGGCTGAGGGCTGCTGGGAGGAGAATGTGGCAGATGGAAAGATTGCAGGGTGAGGGGGGCAATGCATTCTGGGGGCCTGCCCGGTGCCAATCCCAGAGACTCTAGGATGCAGGATGGTAGGTAGCTGGAGCAGAAAGCAGATGGGAAGCTGGTTGGGCGCCTTCCAGCTCTGGGGTGTTGCTACTACCAGAGGCGGCCGCTTTGTAGTCATACCAGCCTGTTGGGACAGGATGTCTGCAGAGCCTGTGGGAGGGAGGGAAGGGAGGAAGTTCCTGGAGGGAGGTAGATGACAGGGAGGAGGGGTGTCACCTTCTAGCAGTGACTAGGCTGCAAGGAGCTTCAGCTGTCCAGAGGGAAGGCACACAGGATGTGGCCCAGGCATCGCAAGGATGATGCCTTGGCCTCTCGAAAGACACAGAAGCTGGGGGCATCTGGCGTTTGCCAGGAGGGTACCAGAGCATCGTCATCCTGAGCCTCTGCAAACCTCTCTGGAGGGGCAGAGGCCTGACCCGGTTAGGATGGCAGGCGAGGCCTCACAGAAAGCTGCCCCCAGAATTTTCTAGACCTTCTGGGAAGCCATACCATAAACAGAAGAGGCAGCCAGTATTCTGCCCTCCCGAGGCTGCGGCTGCTGCAGGTGGCAGCAAAAATGGGATTTTTCTTTCTGGTACCTTTGGGTCGGGGAAAGGATTCTCTGAGACTGCAGGAACCAAGATAAGGATGATGGTCACATGCCAGCAGAGACCAAGGGAAAGGACAGGGGAGGGCAGGCTGGATTCTAAAGGCCTCTCCTACCGCAAACCGGGCCCTGTTTGCAACCCCCACCCCTCTGGCCGCAGGCTTAGAGATGCCTTTCTCTTCTACTTACCACTGACTTGCGGATGCTAACGCGGGGCTTGGGGATGGGTTTGGAGGGCTTGTTTTCAAAGCTTTCCGGAAGCGTGGAAGAATGTCCCCCCTTTCTCGCTTGTAGGGCTAGCTGGTAAGCGACCTCAAAAGCCTGTCCCAGGGTTAGGATGATTTCATAGGCTAAATTCTGCAAGAGAAACAAAAAAAGCATTTACTACTGGCAACCAGTGGACCAGAATGAATGGCTGAGGGCCAGTGTAGGACACAAGCTAGGGAGGACCTTCAATTGCTCACTCTACCTGCAGCTGCAGTGACTCCGGGAAAATCTATAAGAATAAGACACCCTGGGCATTGGCCACCAAGGGAGCATCTGTGTGGAGCCACACTGCGGGGTCTCCTTCATTAATCCCCTATGAACAGACTCCCTATGCAGCCCGCCAGCCCCAGGTGCTCTCCAGGAGCTCCCATGGGGGTAACTTCTGTGCGCATGGGGGTGGGAAGGGGTTAGTAATGGTGTCATGCCTGCGCAGACGATCCCACACGCTCCACAGGAGGTGTTCCGGAGAAGTTTGGGTCTTTTTTTTTTTCCCCCTCCAACATCTGTGATTCGGTGGATATATACACAACACAATCAAAATCTAATTTAGGCCGGGGAGAAGTATTAGTCATTCTGGTGTGGCGTCTCTCAGCAGCAGCAGCAGCAGCGAGCATGCAAACACCGCTCACACGGAGCCAATTATCTGTCTGTCTCTTAAAGATTTCTGCACTTCCCAAGGGTTCACTCTCTATATTTTATTATCAAATCACCAAGAGACATGAGAACCTGTCGGGCTGGGACACCACACCAAACCTCTCCTGCGAGGTACGTGTCTTGTCTCGGACCGGTTCTCTCAGGGTGGTCTCTGCCCTCCTTCTTCACGTACTTCTTTTTGATTTCAGCTTTTTCTCCCACGTGAAGCTTTCCCCCTTCACCATCTTTCACAGGGACAACATGACATTAGCCACTCAAAGGAGGGAGGTCAGGATGTGCCGGTCCACACAGAATGTGCGTGGGGATTGAACCTGTAGGCTTGTGCATGCTTAGAAACGGCTCTACGTTAAGCCACACCCCGAGCCTGGGAACATTCTTAGCATGCAGCAGCGGAGAGCAGCCACCATCTGTCTCAAACTTTTCACTCTCTGATTGTCCCCACGGTGTTTCTGTGTGGCTTTTCAAATTTGCAGGTAGCACGCTTTGTCTTGCTGGTCTCATTCCGAATCCTCCAAGCCTTCTCAGCGGGCTGGGAGAAGCTGGGTCTGCTGTTGTCCTTGGTACTCAGTGAGGAGGGACGAGGTGGGACAGCCTTCCAAGGCCATGGGGAAGAGACTCACCAGCTCAAGACCAACCAGGTTTTAGGTCAAGGCCATGGTCGTTGAACCAAGTGGGGCAACGCCTATGATCTCGAGGGGCTGGTTTGATAGAGGGTCAGTCTCTGAGCACCTAGCAAATGGACATTTGATGCTGAGATACTGCCCTTGCACAGCCAGGTCACACGCTTCCCTGAAGTACAGAGCGCTAAGCCGTGTTTGCCTCCGCGAATGAGTCAGCCGAGTAAATTAGCAGCACAGCAACAATAGTGGAGGAGGACAAGGAGGCAGCTCTGACCATCACTGCACAAAGAGGGCTGAGCCCTTGCCTCTGCCTACACTCAGCACACGTCACAAGTCCTTGTCGGCTTTGCCTCAGCGCTGGCGGGGGGGGGGGGGGGGGGGGGGGGGGCCG